GCCCCCAATGCTTCCAACCCTCTTCCTAATGCATTTGGGAGAAGAAGGGAAAAAAGAACAAATATTTTTTGCAATAAAAAGAACGATCCCTGGGGCTCACAAAACAGTTCCTTGGGGCCACACATGACCCATGGCCCCCACTTTGCTCATCCCAATGTAGAGGCATATCAGTCGCTGGGTGTCATTTGAAGAATAAATTAAAGAAGAAGATCAGGAGTGAGTGAACTGAAAGAGAGAGTGGGCGAAGGGTTGGTATTCATGCATGCTTAAAGAGGTTAGAATTTTTATATGAATGGCAAGAGCCACCCTGCAAGAGCCCTCAAAGAGATCATTAACCATGTCGGCTGTGCGAGAGAACATGAAGAGCGTCCTCTGCCTCCTCCGCTTGTGCGTCTCCCTCTCCTGCTTTCCTCCATCTCATCCTCTCAGTCGGCACCCTAAATTATGAAGGAGTTCATGCAGGGGAAACTTCAGCCATCAAAGGACAACCAGACTTCTTCAATTTCTTGATCTAGTGGCAAGAAGCAGAGGGACAAAAAAGAAACATCTCTTCCTCCTCTGTAGAATATCAAAGTGACTCCTCCCTGGCACATGTAAAAACCTTTGGATAGCTCTTGTCATCACAGCTGTAGAGACAAAGGCCAAGTGGATGATGGCCTTTAATATATACATCTGTGGGACCTTTCTGAACTTAAGAGCCCCATGGCTGGAATGGTGGAGGCCATCGTCCAGCTGCATGTCCACTTGTTGTCTTGTGCATTCAAGTTGTTTCTGATTTATTGGGTTTTCTTGGCATGATTTGTTCAGAGGGGGTTTGCCTTTGCCTTCTTCTGAGGCTGAAAGAGTGTGACTCACCCAAGGTCACCCAGTGGGTTTGCATGGCTAAGCAGAGATTCAAACCTTGGTCCCTAGAGTTGTAGCCCATGTGCTGGCTCTCTGCATGGCCACTAGTGCAGTAGGATCTTCCAAGGCACAAGAACAAGAGTTAAATTAGTTGATCCCTTAAAAAGTGTGAACCTTGGGAGTCAGGTGGAACACTGCTGGGGCTTCATGGCACTCCAGGGTTTCACTTTGGTCGCTCCTTCCTCAACTTGATCCCTCTGTAAACTGACCAGAATATGAAATCCACATGGTCTTGTCCCTGACAAGTTAAACTGCCACTATATTAGCTATAGCTTCCAGCAGGGGTAGGTAACTGATGCCCTCCGGACATCTTACACTACTTCTCTCCAAATCCGTGACTATTGTATTGGCAAAGCTGGGTGGGGACAGAGGGAGGGATAGTCCATTGGCCCCCAGTCCTTTCCAGGCACCCACACCGAGTGACACCAATTGCAGGGATGCCATTGACCCTGCCCAATTTTCCATAGTGGCAGCACTCTCACCTCTCTCTTTTTAAAATGAAAATGAATCCCTTTTCCATGAAGCTTCTAAGAACACAGTTTGGCTGATAAATAAGGTGCACAAGGAATACACACCTTGTTTTTTAAACAAAGATGGGGAAGCCTTTTCAGCCCAAGAGCTAAATTTGGTTTCAGAGAAATTTGGGGAGAAGGAACCTTCATTCCAGCGGTGACTGGGGCCAGAGGCAAAAGGAGTGGGACCACAAGAAATTTCATGTCTTAGATTGAAGTTCTTAGTGCCAGGCACTAAAGGAAGCCTTTCAGCCTTTTAGAATGAGAAATAAAACCCATACAGCAAACAGTAGTGTCCTAGGTAAAATAGTGTGGCCATATGGGGAACACGAGGAAGATGGTGTAGGGAGCAACTTCAGAAAGCCGAAGTAGCACTACGCAAATGGAGTGCCAAATTCAGCATTGCACAATTGACATACTCTGCCAATAGCAGCAGAAGCAGAATCGTACAGGCAGCATGTTCATCTGTGCATTATCTTTGCAAGTTGTGCGTTGCATGTTCTAAACCAGGGGTAGGCAACCTTTCCCCTTTAAGGGCCGAGGGACTTCAGTTCCCAGAATCCCAGGAGCTATTGGCCAACATGGGACTATTGGCCAACATGGCTGAGGCTTCTGGGAGCTGAAGTCCCTCGGCCCTTAAAGGGGAAAGGTTGCCTACCCCTGTTCTAAACTTTGCACTGTAGTTGCGCATCCTGCACTTTGCAGTTTGGTTGTGCATCATACACTTTGCATTGTGCTAGTGCATTGCACATTTTGCATTGCAGTTGTGCATCCTGTACTTTGTATGGGAGTTGCGCATTGCAGTTGTGCATTGTGCAACCGCACTTAGTCATTGACCTGTGCTGCTATTCTGCCTAAGGGTTGTGGAGTGCTTGCAAAGCTTTTCAGCAGCAACAAGGGTTCCAGGCATGCACAGTCCCTGATGATCAGAGGAAACACATATAGCCAATGTCACAACTGCATTTGACCGTTTGTCTGTGCCCAAAGGACACCTCATGGGCTTTAATATTTCCCCCCCAGGGTGAACGAGGCAGAAGAGGAAGGCAGCAGCTGTGTCTCCGGGGAGCCCCAGGGACTCCTGGCAACAAAGGGGGAAAGGTAAGGAGACAACCTTGTTCTTGATTCT